TTTACAGCATATGCAGAAAGAAGCATTAGCCTACCAAAGGCTGTCTAAATTGATAGATTTCGTATTTAGATTTTGCCATGTAAAATGGGAATACTTCTCCAAGTGTATGGTGGCTTCTGAAACTTTTCTGAAGAAATGTCCTTTGAGAATGGACAGAACAGTTACTGTGGGATTAATACACGTTTACCTAGAACAGTATTTTTGTGCCTTCAATATAGGATGTTTTGTTAGAGCTTTTATGGGGTCTTTAAGAAGACTGTGATCAGTTACCTCCACATCTTAAGGTCACTATATGCTAAATTCTGTAATTAATGCAAGTGTGACCACACATTTGAAAAAAGATTGTTATCCTGCAGGAACAGCACTTCTTTGAGAGCTGTTGTTTTGTGATTTCTATGACTCTCTCTGTTATAGGGTCCTATACTTTGGAGCTTGTGCTAGCAAAGAAACTTGGGAGTGGATGGTCTCCATGATTTATGCACCAGTTATAAAGGTGCTGTGGCAGTCTGCAGAGTAGGTACAAGGCCCCAAGAGAGACAAAACACTTTCCTCCTACATGTAAGGAATGTGCACAAGCCATCTGATTAATTGGTAGTTGTGGTGGATTGACCCTGACTGGACACTAGGTACCCATTACTTCCCCTTCTCAGCTGGACAGGCAAGAGAAAAGAAAAATAATATAATGAAAGGCTCATGGGTTGAGATAAAGGCAGGGAGAGATCACTCACCAGTTGCTATCACAGGCAAAACAGACTTAACTCAGAGAAATTAATTTAATTTATTACTAATCAAATCAGAGTAGCGTAATGAGAAAATGAAACCAAACCTTAAAACACCTTCTCCCCACCCCTTCATCTTCCCTGGCTTAATTTACTCCTGATTTTCTCTGCCTCCTCCCGTGCAGCAGCACCAGGGGATGGGAAATAGGGGCTGTGGTCACTTCATCATGATTCTGCTGCTGCTTCCTCTTCATGGGGAGGACCTCCTCACACTCTTTCCCTGCTCCAGCCTGGGGTCCCTCCCATGGGAGACAGCTCTCCATGCCCATGTCCAACCTGCCCTTGAACACATCCAGAGAGGGGATATCCACAACTTCTCTGGGCAACCTGTGCCAGTGTCTCACCACCCTTACAGTGAAGAATTTTTTCCTTGTACCTAACCTAAATCTCTCTTTTGGTTTAAAACCATTACCCCTCATCCTATCCCTACACTTCCTGATAAAGGGTCCCTCTCCATCTTTCCTGTAGCCCCTTTAAGTATGGGAAGGCTGCTGTGAGGTCTCCCCGGAGCCTTCTCTTCTCCAGGCTGAACACCCCCAACTCTCTCAGCCTGTCCTCATAAGCAAAATACTCTAGCCCCCTCATCATCTTCATGCTGTTCTCTGGACCCACTCAGTCAGGTCTGTCTTTCACATCAGTCAGTCTGTGCATGTCCAATCACGTCAGTCTTTGTAGTTGAATGTGTTGTACAATCTATTTTTAAAAGCTGTAGTGATGGCTCTGTAACAATCACAGTCACGCTTCATGTTTAATTGTCTTTATCGCCAACTTTTTCCTGCTAACTACTTCTTGCTCCATTTTGGTCTTATTTTGTATTCTCCATGTCCATAGGAAAAATTATTTCCTTTTTCTTGTATTATTAGCCTTTTATATACTGAAAAGTTATTATCTTGATCTCTCTTGAATATCTTTTCTCTGGACTAAATAACCCCAATTCTTTTATGGTTTCCTAATAAACTCTGTTTTCCAAGGCATCCATTTATTTTTTTGTTCTTTTCTGTTCTTCTTGCCTGTATTTTTCTTGAAATGCATTGCCTGTCAGTGGGGAGCTCCCAAGGCTGAAATAGAATCTATCAGTTCAACCTGTTTGGTGGTGTTGTTTTTTTTGTGTGTGTGTGTGTGTGGTTTTTTTTTTTTGTTTGTTTGTTTATTTTGTTGTGGGTTTTTTTTAAAGTAAAATATTTACGATATGATAAGTAACCATGTTGTTTGATGTCAGCACATAATTTAATGAGCCTGCAGCTGAAACTTACTCAAGGAAGTCACTTTAATGAGCTCAGCAGAGCACTCTGGTCACATCTGCATTCTCCCATCAAAGGCATCTCATCTACCACTGCTTGCTACAGTTGTTTCTTTTCCCTACATCTCTCCAGATATGTTCTTCTGGTTATTTGCTCTGATAAAAACCTATGCAGCTGTCTCCCAGTTCTCACTCCACTCTGAGGTAAGCACTGTATTGAGCACTTTGTGGTTTTGTTATCCAGAAGCAGCATTGAGGTAGGACTGAGATGGCAGTAATAGAAAGTGAAGAAAGGCATGTCTTCAGCCATTTTTTCTTTATGTATTCTTTATGCATTGTGTTAGATGAGAGGGGTAGAGGGGTAGAATTCTACCTTCTGATGCTAAATCAGTGGTATATAGAGTCCTCAACCCAGCAGAGGTGACAGGAGGGCGCCTCTAATAACAGCAAGTTTTCGCAGGTACTGCTAATATGGTTGTCTGAACTAGCAGTTACTGCTGCCACTCTGGTTTGCTCAGACACTGAAATTGCTGGCACAGTGATTGTCTTGCTTTAACCGTCCTTGTCTAGATTTGTGTACGTTCAGGTCAGCTCAACCTTTACTTCATACACTCTTACTAAAAACTGTTTCCACTACTATAGCTTGTTTCCCAAATACTGTAGTACATTTCAAATTGATTAAAAGCTGAATAGTGGGACATAAATAGGTTTGCCTTTAATAATATTCTTCTAGCAAGGATGTTTCTAGAGATGTTCTCCCACTGAATATTCTTACCCAAATGTTTCAGTATCTTTTATTAATGAATAATACAATAATGTGTGGCACTTTCAGGATCCAATAGCTAGACAAATTCATGCCACAATATCTTTCTGTACCATTCAACTGGAAGTCATCATTCTGTTCTGGATTAGGTGTTTAGATGATTCCCTATAGATATTTCTGTCTGGTCTTGACCAATCTATTACTTAAAAATCTGAAAGTTCAGCATGAATTTTTGACAGATATTTATAGATGCAAATCAGGTAGTTTATATGTAACTGGGCCAAGATAGAGCTTTTAGTTCTATTCAGTGTTTCTTTTTCCCCAGTTACCATAGATTCCACCAGTATTATACCTCTTACTTATACTATGCCTTCCTATTTTGACTTGGTCCTTTATTCAAGGTCAGAGTGTTATCTGAATTTCTGCATATTTTCTCAAAGACTGTCTCTTGTCAGTATCTGTTAAAAATCATTCAAGCCATATTACCTCTGTTACTTAGCAATTGTATCAAATCATATTCTGAGGTATCCTCTTTTTCAGTTTAGGCATATCCCATCTTACAATTCATTTAGAGTACCTCTGTAAAAGTTCTTTTTCCTGGCTCATTGCTTTCAGACCCACCTCCATCTGTCCATACTCCACTGCATCAAATACAATTAGATGTCATCTTTAATATTCTTTTCTGGTTTATTTCATGTCTCACTAGTCTTCTCCTCAAATATTAAGATACTGATCTTTTCCTACCTTCATATGAAAAATAAGGATGTTCTTGATTGCTTATTTTTCATCTACTTTTCAGCTTGCTTCTCAGGTGATCATCTCTTCTGTTTTCTTCCCATAGACTTTACAAAAGGGAGAAATCCTTTTTATAAATCTAACAGAGCTGTCTTCTAGTCCTTCTTAAAGCTCTTACTCTTCTCAATCAGAGAGTATTGGTCAGGTAGTTGATGATAATAGCATCACAGAGTTGGAAGGGACCCATAAGGATCATTGAGTCCAACTTTCTGATCCTCAAGGGACTACCTAAAACTATCATATGACTAAAACTACCATATGACTAAAAGCATCATCCAGATGTTCCTTGAACTCTGGTAGGCTGTGACCACTCCCCTGGGGAGCCTGTTCTAGTGACAAACCACCCTCTCACTGAAGAACCTTTTCCTAATGTCCAATCTGAACTTTCCCTGATGCAGCTTCATTCTGTTCCTTCATGTCCTGTTGCTGGTCACCAGAGAGGTGATGTTTCTATAGCGTGTATGTGTTGCACAAGTTATTTTGGGGCATGGTAGCTCTATTTATTACATGTTTGTATAGTGCTTCAAACTGATGAATAATGTTATCTCCAAATCAAGAAGATACTTCTGCAGAAAGGTAGTGAATACCAATAATGCGTTAATTAAAATGTATGCTAGCAATTAGCTGGTAATCATGCGTTTTATGTCATGGGGATCTACCAAATATGCCTTCTTTGGAAAAAGTGCTTCCTGTAGGCTTAGAAGGAACCTTTTTCTAATTGCTTAACTAATAAACATTAGACTCTGAATAAGGCTATTACAGATTTATGTTCCAAAAGAAGTAGAAACAGCATTAGAATTGAAAGAGATTTCGTGCCTTCAGTAATTTCTGAGTAATCAGACTTGAGAGGGAAGATTAAGCCTATAATTATTTTTCTTATGCATTATCAATGAAGAAAAAGCTACAGGAAACTGCATATATATGGGTTTGCATAGACAATGTTCATAAAAGAATGGGAACTCTGCACTGTGTGTGTGTGTATATATATATATCTATATATCTTGTTAAAACGATTGGAAGTTTGTAAAAGTTAAAATACTTGTGTGGAGATGGGGAGTTGTCTCTATTTTTAGCTACAAAATATAAAGTATGATTTAATGACTGCTTTAGAAGCACTTGAAATTCCTAATATTGGTGGAGGGAAGTGGGAGGAGAATTTATATTCTCTAATAGGAACCTAAGCACTATTGCTGGAGAGCATGGAAGGAAAGAAATTAAAATGTCAAGTTTTCTTTTCATGTTCAAATCTTAATGAAATTTATAAAGTGAACAAGTGAAAAATAAATGATAAGTTAATGTATTTTTTACAATGTAAAGCTTTTCTAATACAAAGAAGTGGGTGGAACAAAGAAATTTCTGTCTTTATAGTTCTTGGAGATAAGTCAGACTTTGTAACTATTTGCAATTGATCCTGCCATCTTAGGTTTTCAAGATCAAAGCAGTGCAACTGGCAGGAAAACTTCTTCCAGCCTTCAACACACCTACGGGTATACCATGGGCAATGGTGAATCTGAAAAGGTAATGAAATTTCTTTTGTGGGGAAATGTGTTCCTCCCCCTCTCTCAAACTTAAAATTAGTGATGGCATATGCCAGTTTTTTCTTAGTAGTGGAGCTGTAGAATATGCGGATAAATTGGCATTCCTGGCACTTCAGGGTAATTTTAATAGAGTTCAGAGCATTCTACCTCATTAACTGCAATAAATTTTGACCATAATTTTTTTTTCCTGATTCTGCAGTAAGAATTCAATATGCCGTTGGAACATATCCAGTGTATTATGCCATGTGTTGCCTTAGAGCTTAACCATTGGTTCTTTAGTCATTAAAGAACAAACAAACAAACAAAATTTTGAGAGCATTTTTGATGCAAGACATTTTAAAAATTTTTATTGTGTTCTTAAACAGTAGCTGAATTAGGATGCTCATCTAGATTGTGTGTACATTTAAGCAATTAAAGATAGTAAATAGCAGAGGGATTTTGAATTTTTTTACATTGTTTTCCTTGTAGAAGAGATTACTTGTTGTGCTTTGTTAAACTGTGAAGAGGTTTAGGACTACTTTGACAGCGTTAGCCTTATGTGCCTTTTTGTAATCAGGAAAGGATCCTCACTTTGCTGTCACTTCTCAGCTGAAGACCACGAAGCTGTGGATTGCCCTTCTGTTTCTGGAGGGTCTCACCACCTTTGCCTGGTTTTCTCTTTTTTGCCTGTGCTGCACTTTCCCCTCTGAGGCCATTTATTGGAACTCTGTACAATTAATATTGTTGGGTTAAATTTTCTTACGCACTTTCTGCACAGCATGATGGTTTACTGAGTCTTGTGTCATTTCTGCAGCTTTGTGGAGCTTGAAATAGTTTTTTGGTTTTGCTTTGTTTAGTTGAAGCCTGCACTGTGATTCCAATTATGTTTGAGGGGGCCAGGTGGCCGTACTCCTTGGGCAGCACAGGCATCCAGTTCACTGGCTCGAGCAACAGAGATGGCGAGGTTTAAGAAGCTTCAAGCAGTAGACTCACAGTTATATATCAGTAAAACATGGCAGCGGATCACATAGGTCAGGTGTCAGAGCACAGTCAGAAAGGCAGGACCAAGGAAGAGGATTTGCAGTAGGCGGAGGGGAAAGGATTGGCATGCCAGAAATTTTCTGCGTGCTGGTATTGTGTATGCTTTTATTGTGTCCAGTGTCTTGGTAATGTACAGAACCAGCCAGCATCACAGCAGAAAATAGTGGCTGGCATGCCATAGGGTAGTGACAGTAGCAGGCGTATATGAGAACACTTACCATCAAGCTGACATGCAGTAAAAGACATGACATGAAAGAAATATTTGAAAAATTATTGACTTGTGTTTTATTAGCTTTTGTATTCCTCATGAAAGACTTAATTTTCTCTTTTTATGAGAGTGTAACAAAACCCTAAGCTATTATTTTGTGTCTCTACACTCTGTAAACAGTGCTTACTGTATTTTAAAAGGTGGTGTTCTATCTCAGGTCAGAGCTACAAATACTGTTCCATAACCAACGTTTTTCCTTTACATTTCTTCTTTCTAATTTGTAATTTAAAAAATAAATAAGACAACATTCCTAATTGATTGTAGCCCTACTGATAACTAAAATCTTTTATGAGAGGAAGTAGAAGTAATCTCCAGGAAACTCTACTTCAGAAATTAAAAGACCCAATCCTGAAATGTGGTGAAAACTCCCAAATTAGGTTAAACCAGAGATTGTTTAGAAATTATGACTTATCAAGATGGTATATCTTAGAGTGCAAAAGATATGAGGGATATGATACTTTCTGTTGATTCTCTATATGAGCCTGAGGAACTAAAAATATTCTGCTTACTGTAAACATGCACTGTTTTCCTACATAGATACAGATAGGGCCCACTCCCAACCTACTGGAGTGTCTAATACTGACTTGAAGCACATCCCACACAAGGAAATGGACCACAGCAGATGTTTGGCAGAACAAGAAATGGAATGCTGCCACCTTTGGAAGTATACTCATCTTATTTGATAATTGCTTTTGATTCTTGGTCCTAGGAACGTACAATGAATAAACAACAATCGAGAATGGGCCCAGTGTTAAGTCATTATATTTATGTGACATCAAGATACTATATCTTTTAATGACAGGACTTTTTGTTGTTGTGGTTATGGTATCTTTTTTCCAAAAAGACCCAACCAATAAACTCATTGAACGATGAAACTACAACTCCTGTAATCTTAAGTGTGGGTTAATACTTTGCTGTTATTTGTTCAATTTGCTGTGGTGGTTGTTGCTAGTGCTGTGCCCAGTAATTTTGAATTTTTTGTTGTTTTCTCCATTTTTCATGCATATTTGTTGGAATTCAGCGGTGTGGGTCGAAACTGGGGCTGGGCTTCTGCCGGCAGCAGCATCCTCGCTGAGTTTGGTACTCTGCACATGGAATTTGTCCACCTCAGCTATTTGACAGGGGATCCTGTATACTACAACAAGGTGAGTCTCAAATTCAGTTTTTTATCATACAAGTGTCTTTTATACTGTTTCGTCATAAATTGCATTAAAGAAGTACTCTCTACATTGAATTCTATTTACATTCTTGGTAGCAGGTAAATTTTTTGTACTTATATTTTTGTTACCCAATAGGTGACTTGTTCAAGTAGAAATTTATGACAACACAATTTTTTTTATTTGTTTCAGCATACATTTAAAAATCATAATTTTTAAACATGTTTATGTGAGCAGTCCTTTAAATACCAAAAATGTACTAAAATCTGCAGGAAGCCCTCAAGAAGGCTTCTGGGTTCAGATTAAGAAAATTTACTACTAAAAAAAAAAAACAAAACAAACCAAAAACCCAAAAAACTATTAGATTTAACTATGTGCAGAGAGCAGATGAACGTTGTTAGTCATGATCGTGATTCTTGATTTAATTTAGGTCATGCACATTCGGAAATTACTTCAAAAAATGGATCGTCCTAATGGACTTTATCCAAATTATTTGAATCCAAGAACAGGCCGGTGGGGTCAGCGTAAGTATTCTTATTTTATTCATTTCTAAGTAAATCTCTACTTCTTACTTTGTTGCTGAGTTGGAGATCAACAAAATTATTCTCTAGGGTATGAACAGCATTGCTTGAAAGCTTGCAACTTAAAAGGATTACTTGAGATCTCCTGAAAACAATTTTTGCCTGTCGTGCTCTCTGAAGTCATGCAGCTTGTTTTTTTTGTACTTTCTGAAAGCAACTTCCTACCAAATCTGATACCTATCACTTTCATCAGTCAATAAAGTCTTCAGTAATAAAGAATGAGACTGACAATAGTTTCTTCATTTTGATTATGTTCCTGCTTTTGTTCTGCAAACCATCTGTTGAGTGAATTACTGTAAAGTGATGTAGAAGTAATGCATGTTTGTGGTGGTTAAATCTGAGCTCCTTCACCTGGTGTTAGAGCCTGACATTTACAAACATCATTCTTCTACTTAGTGGTGTGTAAAGTGGCCTGATGAACTTCCCTATGGATTCTGAGGGTATCAGTGTGTCTCATATTTTAAAAACAAACAAAAACCCAAGGCTTTGGAATGAAAAAAAAAATTGTTTCTGTTGCTGACAGTGTAACTGGAGAGGTAAGACACAGACATGATTACATGATTCGTTTTCTCGAAGTGGTTCTTCCAAAAAAAAATTGAGTAGTTTAGTGCTTTCATAGTGGGTGTGGTAAAAGAATCCTTTTCTACAAGGCTTCTGTTCCTACTTCTTTTATGAATGCAAGCTTATTTAGGAAAAAACAAGCAAGATGATCTATTTTTGTCCTGTTTGACATCATTGACAGGTTTGGGGGATTTCAGTGGTTGGCTGTAAATACCCAGTAGAAAATGTTCTGGCATGCAAACTGAGAATTTGCTTCTGACTTTGAGTCTGGTGTATGAGGGAAATGAATGCAGCTGTCACTTCAGTGACTGTGAAAAGAGTCGTCTAATCCCATCATTAAGGCCAAAGCATCTAATATCTTTGAGCGAGTAGTGAGACCTTCTGAGATGGACACATGGATTGATGAGAGAAATTCTTCAGACAAATTTAGGTTTAATGATGCATTCGCAAAAAAAAAGTGAGCAGATACAAATATTCACCTATTATTTATTCAAAAGACAATTTTGTGCTGTTGTTTTGAATTTTTTTCTGTTGCTTTTTTCTTTTTCTAACCAATTACCCTTGCTACTTTTGTCAAAAGTAGTCTAATGTGGCATATCACCAGGATTCTTTAGGGGCTTTTTGTCAGCTGTAATATTAATGCTCAGAATTACTGTCGCCTCTTGGGAAGACAATAATCCTGGTCATTGAGAATAAACATACAGTGAAAATTTTAACTTTGCAGAAGTTTGCTGGAGCTCAAACATACTATTTAAATGAGTTTTGAAAGATAATACACTTGGGGCTAAAGTTTAGGATTACAGGCTGACACTTAAGTTCTTAGGATAAAAAGAAATACAACTTTATAGAGCCTTTATTTTTCTCTGCTGCTCATTAGCCACAAAGTTATTTCCTGGAATTTGGTGGTTGGTTATCTGGGATGTTTTTCTGAGCAAATAAGCTTCCAAATGCAGATACAGATGTTCTGATTGTGTTTTTTAAATTTTCCCAATGCAGCAAGCATTTGTAAACCTATCTTGAAAAGTTTTGTGGGGACAGGATAGCAAGAATTCATGATTCTGTTTTTCCTTCCACAAACCAAGATGGAACAATGAGAAGCTGTCTGTTGTACCCCAGATAGATCACTCTTCAGTAAATCTATATGCAGAAATTTAAGAACTTACAGTAAAGGTATGCATACACTGAAACACTGTACATACGAGCTGGAACAGCTGAGTATAGACAGGAATTTTTCTTCTGATTCTCCTGCAAAGATGGTATCTGGATCACAGAAGTCAGTGAAGTAAGGGTGATGCCTTCATGCCCTATGTCTCAACTCGCTAGAGGACTCGTGTCAGAGTCTACGATTCTGTCACTGACTTGAGTTGTATTGTTGGTGTTAAGGGCAGACAAGGCTTTTATGTCCTCCTCAGAAGGTAATTTCAAAGAGCATTGTGTTTGGCTTGTTCTATACTTTAGTACTAGAAAGACTGAGACAATGGGAAGAGTTCCCAAGCATAACTTTTCTTCTTTTGGCTTCTGGGAAAGTTGCCCTTTTCATCTCTGCTGTGACCTTTAGTTTGATGCATCTTATCTTGTTCAAAGTACTTTCTCCAGATAGTTTCTGAGAATTATTTCAGAACTCTTATTTGCCCAGATACATGTAACTCTTGACTCTGACCTTTCTGGGTTTTCCTTTTTCTTTTAACGTGTTTTTTTTTTTTTTTTTTTTCCTTCAGACTTTTCTGACTCAATGCTAGTTAGGTTTTCTATTAATCTGTAGAGTGTTCCAGCTAAGTCATGAGGGGTGTGAAATAGGTAAAATAAATTTCTACATAAATACACTGCTAAAGAAATATGGGATTTGGCTGTTATATTAGCATAAATCTAGTGATGGGCATCTCTACTTGCAACAAGAGTTTTTTGGAAAATGCTTGATACATTCTCCCTTGATAACAGTATTTTGATACCTTCTTAGAGGTATTTGCACAAAGAGCCTAGACACATCCTTATTTTTGGTTTTTAACCAAAAAAACCCACAAGGATTACATCTTTTTTTTTTTTTTTGACGTGCAATCCCAAGTATTAAATGTTAGTGTGAGCAACTAACACGCATTTGAAATACCTCATTTAGAGATCTTTCCTTTTTCCTCTTTGCTCCAGTGATATGTGCCGTGAATTAATGCTGCCATGTAAGTAACTTTTTACCATGTAAGTAACTTCTTAGCACGTGTAATGTCTCACAACATCTTTTTGAATCTCAGATTTTGCAAAATCTAAATGTCATGTTGTCCATCAGAACTTTATACGAACTGGATATAATGCACAGATATGAAGCTTATATCTCAGCTATTGGTGTTAGGAAATTACAGTAATAAAATTCAGTGCTAGGTCTTAAGGGGAAGGTGATACTTGTTTACAGAGTGATTAAGCCGGCTGATTTTTACCTACTCTCCTTTTCTCATAACTTTAACTCACTCATGATCACAGATACCAAGACATGTCCAAGTTGTCTGGACTCAAAGAAAAAGGGACACTGCTATCCAGTCCTATTCACATACCTAGGGTTCTTGAATGATGACAATAAGCTAGTTTTTGGACAGATCTTTCAGGCCTTTTAGGGATCAGCAATTATTACAGGGTGTTTGTATGCCTCAGAATATTTCTGTCATTAGCCTCCATAGATCGTAGGCCACATTGCTGTGTCTTGCCTGCTTTTCCTCATTTAAATGTATGCTTACAATATCTGTATGTGGTTTGTTCCCTTCTTGGGTTAGGGGAAGGGGAATGGTGTATGTAATATGCTGCAGTCTTGTCACCATCCTTCTGATGTTAGGATACAGGTCTGATGAGTCATTTCTGCTGTGGTTTGATTTATCAGAGTGCAGGCCTTTTGATCTCAATATAACATGTTCTACAATTTCACTGCTGCGGGCTGATGTTCTAGGGACATACAGACCGTCCTTTTTGGTCATTGTTCTGCTGCTTCTGCTGGTGCTTACAGAAGCGTGCATTTTTCATTCAAACCAGTCAATGTTTCTGTTACAAATACATAAAAAGGTATAGTCAGTCAAATAACTTACCAGTCAGTTAGTAATTACGGTTTCATCAAGAAGGATGTGACCATGGCTTCCAGGTTCTTTACAAGTTGGAGATGAGTAGAGTCATATAGCGTGGCATAAATCTAATCTATAGCCATGTCTTTGTAATATTTACATTTTTATAAATATAAATTTCCATGTGAATTTAACGCATTTTATGTAGCACTTGAAGATTACCTTCTTTTTCTGCCTTGTGAAGCAGCAGCAGCCAGATCTGGGAGCTACATCATACAGGGCTGCACAGGGACTACCATCCCATCATTTCTCTCCATTTGAATGTCATAAAACCCAGCCCTAAAAACTGCTGGGTGATTGGCTTGCTGGCCACTGCTAAATCTCCATGCTTTTCAGTGGAAAGGCATTGTAATGCAGCTGTACATGACTAGACCCTTTCTGCTGTGTAGCAGGAAGGGAGTTTTTTATAATCAGGAGATGGAAAATGATGTCATGTGTAGGCTAAATATTACTGTTTAAGCTTGTAATGTGTGGGTATTATTACAGCACGAGTGTCATGACAAACAGCTTTTTAATGGGTTCAGCTCAGGATTTGTCAGCTCACTGAGGTTTTTGCTACAAGGCAGAGCTCAAATGCCCACAGGAATGTTGACAGATTCAATTTTTACTTATGGACTAAGGTGATGGTCTAGTAAGAACAAGTACTTCTGCCTGGGGTTTCAGTTTCTGTGAAACTGAAAGGAAAACAGCTGGCAAGAAGCATATTCTAACCTCTCACACTAATCTACAGTTAAATTTGTTAGCTTGGTGTTCACTTGGTGAATCGTTGGTTTGATGTAAGCATCAAAACTTTGATTTTAGATTATTTTCAAAAACAGTTACAGTGCTTTCTAGAGAAGCCTTCTAATCAGACAAAACAACTAGAATTTTGATTAAAAGCAAAAGATTTCAAAATTACAGAAATAAAATTGTACCGAAGAAAAAGTATTTTTTTTAAAAAAAAAAGAAAATATGTTGAGAATGTAATTACAATTTGCATTTGAAAACAGACTAAATGAGAGTACCAACTAGAATTGAAGTAACAAAGAAAACGCCAATCTGCATGCTATTGCCAAGTCAGGACGTGGAGCTCATGTTTGCCCATTTCTGTAAATTGTGCATTCTTCCTTTCTACTTTTCAATACCGAGAACAAGTTACTGCGTTTCATCTGGTTCTGCTGTCTCTTGCAAGTAATAATGTTACTGAAGGGGAACTCGGATTGCTCTGACTTCACATCTCGCTTCCTGCAGTTGGGCTACCTATGGAGCTAACTGTGTTGGTTACGTAAGAAAGTTGTGTCAGTTTAA